GAGAAGACGCCAGTCATTCCAATAAAATGGTCATTCCAATAAAGTAGATAAAGAAGGAGTTCTAATTGCCGTCAATAAACATATGTGTTGTAAGAAGTAAGTGGTCGTCTGATGCCGAAGATTTATTGGCTACAATAAATTTTAATCGATCTTAATGCATATATTTTTCGTTTATATCTCTCCCAGATATTCTACAATTGTCATTTTTTTGTTTTTATCTCTTTTTAAGCATCTTTTTTAAAGGTGACTATAATTTTTTTATTTTATCAAAAACTACATGTCAAAACAAAAAAAAATTAGTACCTGAAGAACTTTGTACAATAATTTTTTACCGTAGAATTTCTTAAAAAAAAAAAATTAAATTGTTTTTGACCGAAAAAAATTATTATCTTCAACATTTTTGAATTTTTTTGATTTAAAAATATTTTACCCATTTAAAACATAAAAAGGTATAATTTCACCAAATTTCATCAAAATTGAATTATTTTTGGAAAAAGAAAAAACAAAAAACAAAAATTAAAAATTCGAGCGAACTTTCGCATTTTATTCGAAAATTTTGAAAGTATGTTTAAAAGTGACTTTTATGTTATATTATGTTGAAAATGGGGTGTTAATACACTGCGACATAAAGGATATATTGTGCCTCCTTCCGTCGCCAATGCACCAAGAAAATGTATCAATGCCTATAACGACCCTTTCAATCTTATTTTCTCAAGGAAGTGTAGGATTTGAAGTGGCTTCAAGTTAGGTAAATCTCCCTCTTTTATTTAAAATCCTCCTAGAAATAGTGCCCTTGGATTCTGGAGAGCTACACATTCAGTTAGGATGTGAATGGAGGTTTTGTCTTCCTTCTCACAGAATCTGCACTCACTATCCTCTACTACTCTCAGTTTACTTAGGTGTCCTTTTAGTTGGCAATGCTCGGTAAGATTCCCTGTTATAATACGTAGCCTGTTCTTACCTAGGCAGATGCAGGCTTCCGATCTTTTCTGGTTATATTCACCCAGAAGTATCTTGGCATGTCTCAGCCCTAAGAGATTGTCCCAATTATCGGTTCTTCTACTGCCCAATTCGTTTTTAATATCTCTTAATATTATGTTACTGCTGATACCGCAGAACGGCTCAGGTCCTACAAAGAGTGTTTGAGCTCCTTTCCTTGCAAGATTATCTGCAATCTCGTTACCCTGTACCCCGGGACCCAATTGAGAGTAACTCTATTTTTCTCGTCTAGCTCATTCAATTGTTCCAGGCATCTCCAAACCATTTTTGAGCTGATTACGTAAGAGCTCAGCTGCTGCTTGACTATTGGACTTGATGATAATCTCTTGTCTATGATAGTTTCCTTCTATGTTGAACTGAATATACTTCTCGATGGCGTGAATTTCCGCCTGGAAGATGCTTGGGTATTTTCCCAAGCTTTTGGAGTGCTTGGTTCTCGGCCCATACACTTCTATTCCAGTTCCTTTTATGGTTTTGGAACCGTTTATTAGAATTATATATTTCATATTTTTATGTAGTTAGCTGTTGTAAGTTGTCAATAAAAATATATACTTGTCACGTCTACTTAAAAAAAAAAATTTGTCTACTTTGGAATATATAATAGTATATAAAACCGTACTGGTTATAGATTATTCTTTATTATCCATTCAGCTTGCAAAACCCACCTTCTGCCTATAGGTTATGGGCCCAGGAATCAAGAGATAAAAGATACGTTTAAAGACGTGAACCAGGAAAGTATGGCAGATAAAAATATAGATATAGCGCATGTAAACAAATTTGATGGTAAAAATTATAAGCAGTGGAAATTCCAGATGACATGTGCATTAAAAGCCAAAGGCTTATATTCAATTGCAAATGGTAATTCTCCAAGACCGCCACATCAAAATACTACAGATCTGGAAACATGGGACAATAAAGATGCCCAAGCAATGTTTGCTTTGACCTCTGCTATGAATTTATGTCAAATTACATTGATTGAAAATTGCGAAACTTCAAAAGAAATTATAAACAAATTGGATTCCATATACCAGCAAAAATCTGAAACTAACAAGATGTTGGTCCATGAAAAATGTCACCAATATAAAATGGATCTTAGTGACTCCGTGGCACAACATATTGCAAAGGTTGAAAACTTGGCAAAAGAGATACGAGATGCTGGTGAAACAGTAAGTAATGCCGCTATAATGACAAAAATATTAAGCACCTTGCCATTGAAATACAGAAATCTCAGGCAAGCGTGGTTATCCTTAGCAGAAGAAAAACAAACGATTACAAATCTCACAGCACGACTTTTAGATGAAGAAGCAAGTCTTACTTCGTATGAAGAATCAGATACTGCTCTCGCAACATCTTCTTACTCATCTTTTAACAAGACTAAAGATGTTTGTACTATAATAATAATAATAATAATAATACTCTCCCTAATTCACCCCCTTACGAGTGAATTTTAACCCCAAAAGCTGAGCTTGTCCGGGGAAAGGGACGGCTATTATTATTATTTGCCGTGGCGCTCCGGGGCGACTTAAAGATGATTGATGGTGCCATTTGACTTACAGGTGAGGAAAACCCGGAAAAGCTCACCCACCATCATCGAGACGGTAATGTATGGCGAATTTTTTTAATCTGCATGTCATATCAACAGAAATTGAATTTCTATTAATACGCCACACATCAAATCCTAATCCGAACCATGCAATTTAATTAAAAATCCACATGGTCTGGTCTGGGATTCGAAACCCAGCAGTCTCAGACTCATAAACTTGCCTATAAATGAATATAAGCGCGATAGACCGCTACACCACCGTGCCCGATTTACTCCTAGAGTTAACAAATCAAATCTTTTTTGCTATTATTGCCGAAAAAAGGGTCATGTAGTATGTGAGTGTCGTAAAAAATTAAATAAAGAAAAACAGCAATTAAATACTTCTGAAACAACCAATGACGAGAATAACCAAAATTCTCCTTCAACCAGTATGACTGCATTCCATATAGAAGAAGAAACTATTTGTAACCAAGCTTACTGCGATGAAGATATATGGATTATGGATAGTGGAGCCTCAACACACATGACTCACAAGAGAGAGTATTTGTCAGATTTTGAAGAGGTTGAAAATGCAAGTCCAGTATTACTTGGTAATAACCAAAACCTAATTGTTAGAGGAAAAGGGATTGTAAGAATTGAGAAGCTTATACAAGGACGTTGGCATGACTCCATAATTACCAATGTTCTATATATCCCCGATTTAAAGAGAAATTTATTTTCTGAAGGTGTCTTAACCAAGAAAGGGATGAAAATAGTAAAGCAAGGAGACAATGCCACAGTGTATCAAAACAACCACCTTGTAGCATGTGCAGAGCGCGGACCTAATAATTTGTACCGGATGCTGTTTCACACTATCGTGTCTCAGGTCAACTTCACTTCAGAAAACAATCTTAAAGTATGGCATGAGAGACTAGGGCACATTAATGTTCAAACATTGAAAGAATTATTTTCGAAAGAAATAACCGGTATCAAACTAACAGATTCTAATAATTTTTTTTGCAAAGGATGCAACTACGGCAAACAGCACAGAATACCCTTTAAAAAAGGTTCACATCCAAGGCTAGAACCAGGAGAAAGAATATATAGTGATTTATGCGGTCCAATGGGAACTTGTTCAGTACGAGGCGCAAAATATTTTGTTACATTTAAAGACGATTTTTCTGGATTTCGTGTAACATACTTTATCAAACACAAAACGGATGTCCTTGAATGTTTTAAAACTTATTTTAACCTGGCTAAAAATACATATGGACACTCAGTGAAAGTTTTGCACATAGATAACGGAACTGAATATATTAACCAACTTTTCTCACAATACCTAAATGAAAAAGGTATTGAGTTAGAACGAACAGCCCCATACACTCCCCAACAGAATGGCAAGACTGAACGCGACAACCGAACTATTATAGAAAGTGCACGCTCGATGTTATACAGTGCTGGTGTTCCGAAATACCTGTGGGCAGAAGCCGTTAATACAGCTGTGTATATACTTAATCGTTCACAAATTCATTCAGCAAATCATATTACTCCATATGAACTGTGGACTGGTAAAAAACCTGAACTCTCTCATACTAAAGTTTTTGGCTGTGAAGCATTTGTTCATGTTCCAGATCAAAAACGGAACAAACTTGAACCCAAAAGTCAAAAATTAGTATTTGTAGGTTATGATGGTTTGTCAAATAATTTTAGGTTATTTGATCTTGTCAAAAAGAAAATTACTGTCTCCAGAAATGTCATATTTAATGAAAATGTCAAAGGATTCACTGAGAAACCGAATCTAATACCTATATCTATAGACTATGAATATGTAACAGTATTTCCAACAGATGAAGTGGAAGTTACAGAAATTAAATCTCTACAAAAAGTGAATCATGAAACACGCCGTCCAAAAGGAAGTAAAAGAACTTCAGAACGATTCAATGATTTTCAACTTAATTATGTTGAAGTGGATGTACCAACTACTTACGAAGAGGCCATGCAAAGTAAGGAGTCCAATTTTTGGCAAGAAGCAATAAAGGAAGAACTAGACGCTCTTAATAAGAACAACACCTGGGATATAACAACCTTGCCAAATGAGAAGAAAGCAATTGATCCTAAATGGGTGTTTAAAGTTAAACGTAATGCTGATGATAGTATTTCAAGGTACAAAGCTAGATTATGTGCTAAAGGTTTTGCACAAATAGAAGGTGTTGATTACAATGAAATTTACTCACCTACTACTAGGTATGACTCTATACGAGTCTTATTATCAATTTCCGCAAGGTACCAATATGAAATGATATAATTCGATATTAAGACTGCATTCTTATATGGTGAACTAGACGAAGAAATTTACATGAAGTGGTCAAAAGGTATAAATACATTGCCAAATAAAGTATGTAGACTAAAAAAATCTTTATACGGATTAAAACAATCCCCACGTTGTTGGAATAGAAAATTCAGTGGTTTCCTAAAAACGTTCAGCTTTTTCCAAAGCAACGCAGACAAATGTGTTTATGTAACTAAAATAAACAACAACCGAATTCTACTAGTCATATATGTTGATGATGGACTTTTATTTTCAAAGAGTACCAACGCTATGCATACCGTTTTAGAAGAAATGAAGAAAACATTTGAAATGACCGTTAGTGAGGCTGGATACTATGTTGGATTAAATATTGTTCGCAATAAAGATGGTAGTATTTTCATTCACCAATCCAACTATATTAGGAAAATAATTAAACGATTTAATCTTGAAACAGCTAATCCAGTTGCAATACCAGCAGATCCTAATGCTAACCTAACTATTTGTGATGATGACTCATTTCCATTAGAGGAAGTTCCTTATCGGGAAGCGGTAGGCAGTTTGATGTTTACTGCAGTCGTAAGTCGTCCTGATATTATGTATGCAGTGGGAGTTGTTAGTAGATATGTTACCAACTATAGCACAATACATTGGAATGCAGTAAAACGAATTATAAGGTATTTGAAGTCAACAATATATTATGGTATAAAATACGAATGCAACTCAAATTTACCCATCTTATTTGGGTACTCTGACTCAGATTACGCTGGTGATGCTGATACTAGACTTTCCACAACTGGATATCTCTTCAAAATTGGGAATGGTCCTGTGTCTTGGTGTAGTAAAAGACAACGAAGTGTCTCTTTATCAACTACAGAAGCCGAGTATGTTGCAGCATCAGAAGCTACGAAAGAAGCTATTTGGATTCAACAGCTTCTAAACGATATTGGAGAAAAAGAGGTATCAAACATACCCATCAAACTTTTTATCGACAACCAATCTGCAATTCGTCTTATTAGGAATCCAGAATTCTACAAGCGTACGAAACATGTTGATATACGATACCATTTTATACGCCAGAAATATGAAGATGGACAGATAAATCCAGATTATGTACATACCAATAACCAAATAGCAGATATTCTAACAAAACCCCTAGCTAAAGAAAAATTCAGAAGATTTCTTATAATGATGAACTTGATGAGCATTCAAGAAACTGGCCAGAAAGAAAGAAATTAAAAAATTGAGAAAATATTCAATCAGTGGGAGTATTAGAATTATATATTTCATATTTTTATGTAGTTAGCTGTTGTAAGTTGTCAATAAAAATATATACTTGTCACGTTTACTTCAAAAAAAAAGTTTGTCTACTTTGGAATATATAATAGTATATAAAAACGTACTGGTTATAGATTATTCTTTATTATCCATTCAGCTTGCAAAACCCACCTTCTGCCTATACCGTCCGTATACCACTGAATGGCATGTCTTTCGATTGCAAGTGCGATGAATTCTCGGCTCCATTCTTTCTTGCAGCCCAGCTCTGTGGTCACAAAACTGTACTTCTTTAGCATTTCATCCTGGGGTATGTCACAGGTATCTTTAGTCCTGAAGCAAGTAGACTTTCGTTTGATAAAAGTGACCTTTACAAATTCTATAGATTATTGCTTGATCTACGACTTTTGTATTATACATTATTTTTAACGTCAACTTTCGCCGGCAAACGCGATTTTACCGTTTTTCGCCCTTTTTCAACCCCCTAATACTTTACTTCAACCCGTCCAGATTACATTTATTCTTTTTCTATTTATTATTAGCTCCTATACTATTTACACTTATCAAAGTCTTTTATGGCCAGCCGTTGCTTCATCTGCTTATTTTTATTTATTGTTTTATATTTTTAATTTAATTAGAAATAGGGCAAGTTGAATAATGGGTAATTTTGTCCTAATCCAACTTAAGTAAAGAAACAATCCTTAAAAACTAAAGTTGTACTTACACTAGTAAGTTAGGGTCTGTGAGTGTGATAATTTAATGACACTAAAGGTCTGTTCCAACAACGCTCAGAAACCAGTTACTGACATCAGGATTCTCTAGAAATATATTTTCGAAGTTGAAACAAAACAGACGATATTGACATGTTAAGAGATTACACAATCTGATGAAATCGAATTTGGGATGAACAATTTACTATTATATTATTGGTAAAGCTATATGTGGAGTAAATGTATAAAAATTATGATAATAAAGTGCTTTGTATTTCAGAAGGCCTATTAGTATAGCCACCGGTTTCACAGAATTCAATTTGCTGCATCATCAGGCACCTATATGAGCAAAATTAACGGTCAGTTTAACTGAAAATGTAACACTTTCTATTAACATTGGCTGGATAAGGAGACGACCTATTTTATTCCAATTAAAGTAATATCCCAAAATAGTTATAGTCGAAAAAAAGCAAAATAAAATATTATCTTTATTTATTACGTAAAATATTTCGTCTTTTTTGTTTTGATCTAAATATATATCTTCTATTTTGTTTGTTTTCTAAACACTTTCATAGTGTAATGATAATAAATAGATTTTTAGCATAGGTACATGCATAGGTTTTAAAATACACTTAAAAATGATTGGAAAATACTGAACTCAACTCTAGTTTTAATATTCTTCTCTTAAATACCTATTCAATTCGTACTCGTATTTTAATTTTCTTATTTCCAATATTCAATTCGTACTTGCACAAAATAAATACCCAAATGCATCGTTTTATCGAAGATAGGAAGTTTCACTATCAGCTCCATTCTATTTACAAACTACAACAAAGAAAATATTGTGACTTTGTATATTGTACCAATTTTACTTCTCATTTTCTTAGATAAGAATTCAATACACGTTCAGGTAAATACAAATGAATGTTTCATCGAAAATACAGATGATAGGTATCTTTCAAATAAATATTACTTTTAAAGGGAGAATAGCATCGTTTTTATGCTATTTTATTTATTTCACTTGAATAGTGAATAGGAGACAATTTGGATAATTATTAAGCTATACCCAAATGCGTGGTTATTTGGGGTTAATTCAGCCTTTTAGGGATGCTTTTAAATTATTTAGTAAGGAATAAATTTATCCTTTAATATGAAATTTTAATTTATGTTATATTTGTCCTGTATTAAATTTAGTTTTATCATTATTTTTATGATTTTGTATGCCTTTTTAATAATAAATTTTAATTCTAATTTATCTTTAATCTACGGTGTCTTTCATGAAGTTAAACACAATGAAAGCTTCTAAGAAAAATTTCTTCTTGAAAAGAAAATGTTACTTCACAAATTCAATGCACTTCTCTTTAAGATAGAATTAAAAATCGAAAACTTACTTAAAAATAATGTAATTCATGTAAGGCTTGATATTAGTGAGGCTAGAAAAATATACATCAGTGTTCCAGGCCGAACTAATATACTAGCCGTGGGTCTCCAGGGTTTACCTATTCTAAGAGGTCTTTTGGCCAGTGACGCTTTGGTCTTCTGCGTTCCATCAGTGTACAGGTCAGCTATCAATGGATATTATGATCAATGGATGGAACCATGGAGCATCAGATATCATTCGAAGTGTTTTGGATTGAAACGCTTGTAATATTTTGGTGTTTGATGGTTTGCTACAGTCCCATAGCTCTATACCATATGACCAAATTGGCTTCAGTATTACTTTGTATAGAAGTATCTTCTTTTCAAGTAATGACTGTGAGCGACGACAAATTAACTAGTTAATTTTTTGGGTTTTTAGCTTCAAGTGTTCTTTTTATATTTGATATGAGTTTTCCAGGTTAACTTTTGATCTAAGTGTAATCCGAGATATTTAACTTCAGTTTTCACTGGTATGTGTATGTTGTTGATGGAAACTTGTGAACAAATACTGCGTTTTGTTGTGAACGTGATTTGTGTTTATTTATTAGTATTAAATTTTATCCTCCACTGTTGCAGCCAATCTTGTAATAGATTTAAATGAATTTGTAGCCTTTCTGATGCTCTTATAGGATCTCGATCTGATGGCATCAGTGCTGTATCGTCTGCAAAGGTGGCGATTAGTGTTTTGTCGGTGGTCGAAATATTGTCAGTATATAGTAGGTAGAGAAAAGGGCCACGGACGCTTCCTTGAGGAACACCTGACTTTATGGATTAGTAATTGGAAAAATAGGTTTGAGCTTTGACTTGCATATATCTGTTGCTAAGATAAGATTTGAGTAATAGGAAAATGTGGTGAGGTAATTGCTGTTTTATCTTGTATAGCAGTCCTTGATGTCATACTTTGTCAAATGCCTGTTGAATGTCTAAAAATACAGAGGCACAGAATCTTTTTTGTTCTAAAGTGAACAGTTTACAATCCAATGGCATTGTTGGATTGTCGAATGTTGTTCTCTGAAACCAAATTGATGTATAGGTAAACTTTAAAGATTTGTGGTAGTAAACTTATAGGTCTATATGAATTGAGGTCTTGCAAATATTTTCCTGGCTTCGCTAACATAATTATTTGCGCATATTTTCATTGTATTGGGAAATGATTAGTTTGCAGTATTCTATTAAATATTGTGGTAACAAATACAATTCCTTTTTTTGGTAGATATTTTAAAACTTTTCCAACAATGAGATATAGTACCCAGGAGCTTTGTGCGGGTTTATTATTTGTATTTCTCGATATACTTCAGCTGGGGAGATTTATTTTAAAGGAGGTGATAGTTGGTTGGAAGAGCTCAAATATGTTTTTACCACTGCATCTGTATTTGGATTAACAGATTGTATTGAAGTAAAAACTTTAGCTAAGTGTTGTGCAAACGTATTGCTTTTTTCTTCGTTTATGCGAGCCCAATTTCCATCCGGTTCTCTTAGTGGTGGAATTGCAACAACGGGTCTCTTAAATTTTTTGGTAGCTTTTCACATTGTATGATCTTGGGGTGATACATTGGAAATGTAGTAATTGAATGTAGCATTTCGATTTTCATTTAAAGCGTTCTTTATACGGTGAGTTAGTCTGTTCAGAATTAATTTATCTCTAGGATTTCTGGTTGCTTGCCATTTTCTTCTTGCTCTTCATTTTTTTACTTTCCAATTGTATTATATGAAGTGGGATATTGTGTGATTCCGCCGTTTCTTTGTGGATTATTGGCGTTGATTGCCAGGCAGCGTTCTGAATGAGGTTTCATCTACTTCTTGTGATTCCTCTATTTTATTATTTAAGCTAATATTGTTGTCAGTTATTTGTTAAAATTGTTCCTAGTTTGTTTTTTATTGCATAGCTGTGGTATTTGTGTTCTCCAGATAACGTTTGTGCTCAGAGTTATTACTAAAGCGCTGTAATCTGAATCCAGATCTAAATTACTTTCAATATGACTGTGTATATTTGAAATACCCTTTGTTACTGCGAAGTCAATTAATCCGGTATGTTGTTCAAGTCTGTCGGCGTGCAGATGATAATTATCTCAATATATACTTTTTTGTAATTTCTCGGAAAAATTATTTAATGTATTCAAGTGGACTATGTGAAAAGTAATAGGGAAAATATGCGCGAAACAAATAGGTATTGCATACATTTCAGAAGTGTTTAAAATATTTACATACGCTAAAATAGGTTGCACTTTAAACAATTAACATAGATACGTATGCTTCTTTGTTTTTATAAAATTCTTGATAAAATATCACGATTTACGTGAGAATATTAATATTTCTATTATACAATGTGTCTAAATAGTTCGTAATTGCTCGATAAATCATTTTGTGTTATGGATACACAAAACAAATTTAAAATAGAAGTTGTATGGATTTAAAAATAGCATATTTTACAAATATTTTTAGATATACAGGAAGTTACATTTCTGCCAGGAAAATAAAAATGTATATTTTTTAAATGGAACATTCTGTATTTTATTTTAGTTTCGTAATAGTCTAGTTATAATATATTTAACGCTAAAATATTTTTAAAAAATATTAGACGGTTGCCAAGCAATTAATTTTTTTGTGAAATTAAAGAATAATGCAGACTCCCAATAAAATTATCATAATTTAAGTATATAAGCAATGTTTTCAAAATTAATTAAATTGCAGACTTATAAGATACACACTTAACGAATAGTGATGATAAAACTAGTTCATTTTATACAGAGCGTTTTAAAACATATGATTTATTTTAAGTTTAATTTACTCAAGTTTTTCAAATACAAAACCCTCTATATTATTGAAGCATTAAATTCGTTATGAATTTACCTATCCAACGATACCAACATGTTAGCCTATTATACATGTACCATATAATAATAATATAATATAATAAAATTCCTAAACGGTTTTCTATTTGATGTGATACATTTTG